CTAAGGTAGCGGTTCTCAACCTGTAGGTCGTGACCCCTTTGGGAGTCGAACGACCTTTTCACAAGGGTCGCCTAAGACCATCGGAACTCTTTGTCGCTCTCTCTCTCGCACACAGACATGCGCGCACGCAGGGAAATAGGAGGAGAAATGCAAATGTTAAAAAGGGGGAGTCTATATGTTTGTGTGGGGAGCGAGGGGGAGAAATTGGGTTCCAGTTATTGGGTTCCAAGCCAATCGGAGGCAAGGAGCGGAGTTTTGGCCTGACGGAGCATTGGTTGGGGGTCACCACAACATGAGTTACTGTATTAAAGGGTCGCGGCATTAGGAAGGTTGAGAACCACTGGAGATTAGTTTGCAAATATAAAGACCATTTCATAATCTCATAAGTAACGGATATATTGGAAATAGCAACCATAGCTTCATTATCTTTAGTTTGGATAGAAAAATAGCCAACTATTGTAGTTGTTTGAAGAATGAGTTGCAAGAATTTGAGGTTGAATAATAAAGGGAATTGAAATACTATTTGTTCCTCTTTAACATTAGAATTGCCTCTGAAAGAAAAACCACACTTCTTTACAATTATATTGCCTCTAGAATGATTATTTCACTGTTATAAAAACTGAACTATAATTGTCATTTTTATTCAGGCTGATGTGAAGAGGTGGCATGAAACTTTAATGTAAATCTAATAATAGTAACTATGAAGAACGCAACACTTTGACGTGGCATTGCATATAAAAAGGGCTAGATTGGAATATTATTGCCTGAGTGTTTTTCCTATTCAACATGTGGCCAAACTAAGAGTTTATTTTTACAGATACACCATTTCAGAAGAATGTTACATTAAATAAATACCAATTTAAAGAATGTGCTTTGATAACACAATTAGGTCTGTGCCACAACCCATCCCTTAATGGGCAATTTAGCAATTAATGAACACCTTAATGCACACCTAATGCAAACCTTGTTAGCAATCCGGTATCAAATTAACAAAGTGATTTCCTTTTGTTATACCATATAATGCGAAAGTTTTAATTTTAAATTCTATTTGACTTCATCTAGGGCAGAATCAAATCCTTGTTTTGCAGATGCAGTTAATTTTTTCCCCTTTCTCTTCTTTCCTCCAGGCAAAGAATCATGCAAAGCAGGGAATGAAGGAGGTGAAGAGTAAGTTGAAACACAAGGTATGTGGCAAAATTTGTACTTTCTTACCTCGCTTCTTGCTTCAGTTTGAAGTATATACCTTATGAATCCCAGAAGATTTGTGTTTTTAATGACTTTTGAAATATGCTTAGCCCTTTGTTCAACAATGCATTTTTTATAACAAGCCCTCTGGCAACTCTCTGTCATTCTGGGCATCTACTTGAATAATCTCTTTATTGTTTGCATATTTATCATGAAAAAAACAGAAGTCTTCAAAGATCTATTAACAGGATGTATGTTTTCATAAAGCTGATTACTTTGATGTCACAATTGAAGCCTTTGCTTCTAGCTGAGAATTTAAGGCAAGCGACTTTTACCAGAGAAATATAATTCAGCAGGAATAGTTGTATGTTTAGATTTCATTGGTCCAGGAAATGGTGGCATTATTTTAGCACCCTAAGCCTTCCAAGGGTGTGATTTAAAAGTATGAGAGGCATCGTATCAAGACTCCATATATTCAGTGTATTACATGTTTATCTCCAATATTCATTTTTAAATCAAGTAGTTTGAGCACTATTTCACTTTCTCCTCACGTATCAAGGCTCAAATATATGAAAGGAATTTTGTTTTACTTGATAGCTTCATCATATTTTAAAAATATATGGTAATTGTTACTCCAGCATTTACATCTTTTAGGTGACAGGTTTTTTAAATGGTATGTATGTGTTTAACGTGATATAGAAATGTGTAGACACAAACGTTTTTCGGTCTTAATTTTCTCTGTAGGAAAGAGAAGATGGCTATGGAATTTCTAGCTCAGGTTTTTCACAATATCCTCCATTCTATACCTTTCATAATTCTCCAAGAGAGAACACAGAAAAAAGGCGACTTGCACAGGTAATTAAAAATGTTCTCTCTTTGGATGTTGGTAACAAACACAAGATATTTGTTAATCAAGATGGAGAATAATGTGCAACAGTAATAAGCACTGTGAACCCTCTATCGATCCTTGTTCCCTGACTCCTGCTTCTAAAACGTACAATGGGAAGCTGGCTTTCTCCAAAGCAAAGCATGTTTTAGCATTCTCTTTATTTACGCGAATGTATCTGGGTCTCACAAGAGTCAAATAGACAGTCTAGAAAATAAAAAGATAAAAGTTTTAAAATTTGTCTACAATAAGTAGGCAAAAGTAACAGAGATGTTATAAAGCATAGTTGGAAACCTTCTCTCCTGTTTCTTCTGTTAATGCAGTTAAAAATAAATAGACTACTCTTTTGTAGCCACTGAGAAATGTTCTCAAAATTGCAGATGTACCCAGTGGTCCACCAAAGATTGCTTAACACACACACACACACACACACACACACACACACACAAACTGCCCACTACAAGTCATTACTAGCCTGCCTACCTCAAATGTATCCAAGCTGACATTCCCCTTATGAATAAAGGTGAATCAATTGTTTAATAATGGAGTTGGCTTTCAGAGTTCTGCAGCATGTAAATTTAAACAAACAAACAAATAAAAGAAACTGTAATGAAAATGTCATTTACCTAATTACTGTGTGCTTTTAAAGAAGTGTTTCCTCTTTAAAGGCTAGAGTCGTATTTGCCTAGGATGTGGAAGGTTGCTTTTACACCATTTGCAGAAAGTATCTATATTAAGGGTAATTCCTATGCAACATTACCATGAATTTCTAAAATTTGGTAAACGCTGCATTTACATATACATGTTGACAAAACTTATTTTAGTGTAATCTAAGTACTGAAAAAGAGTATCCTTCATTTTAAGAGATATGAGCATAAAAAAAATTGACCCTTATGATTTTTGATAGTTGACAAATTTTGGAATAGCCTGCCTATATACAGTATATCTGCCTGCCTGCCTGCCTACCTACCTACCTACCTACCTACCTACCTACCTATCTCTTTTAGAGCTTTATAATATTTGCAAAACTCCTGTAGGATTTCCATATCTATATCTAGCAGCATCAGAGCATGGGATTAGGTTCAATGGCAGAGAGCAGGAATAGCTTCCTATCAAATTCTTAGTCCAAAAACAATGAGCTCAAATGTAGACATATTACAATTTTAACTAAACAAGTTTCTTATATCTACTGTGAAAGGTTTTTTTTTAAAAAAATCCTTAGTGGCAGACTTATGCATTTGTAGTTTTCTTGGTGTCAATAAAAATACAATACTGTATTTTTCGGAGTTTCCCCCCTAAAAGAGGGTGCAAATTTGGGTGCGCCTTATACACCAAATTTAGCCCCGCCCACCCACCAGTCCCCACTCTTTGGCCTCCGCCTCTTTGCAGCAAACGGGGAAAATGGGGTTTGTGGAGGCTGCTATCGGCCATGGCAATCCCTGCAGCCTGAAACAGCTGATCATCGGGAGGCCCAAACTGAAATTGAAAGGGAAACTTGCTGTTTGCTGCAAGGGGCAAATTGCTGGGAGGCAGAGACAGATTTTTCTTCTTCTAATCAGGCTTAATTGAAACAGGCTGTTTGCTGTTTACTGTTTACTGAAAGGAAGTAAGTCAATAACTACAATATAAATGCCTATAGAATGTTCAAATTATTAGACTTATTTTTAAAGACTGCTTTATTATTGTTGTAGACAATTTAACAAAATGAAGAAGCTTTTTTAAAGCTTGATCTGAAGAGGCCCAGTGCTATTTGTATCTTCTTTTAAATAGCAGAGAATAATATATACTTCCAGAAAGCCACATCAATTTTAACAGCATCTGAAAAAGTCTAGTCTGAAATGTAACACCACAAACAGTGTACATTGCCTGTACTGTTTGCTGTTTGCTGCAAGGAGGCAAATTGCTGGGAGGCAGAAGCAGATTTCCCCCCCTTGTTTTCCTCCCCAAAAGCCAGGTGTGTCTTATACTTTGGAGAGACTGATACTCTGAAAAATATAGTATATCATGTTTTTCAGAAATCTAGTTCTATAAATATATGAAATATTGAAAACTGAGAAAGCAAATAATACATGTAAAAAGTACAGATGTATAGTTAACACTTTTAAAGCATCATGACAACTAACACACCATTTTTTAGAACAAGTTCTCTATGTTATATAGCAATAGCAATAGGAGTTAGACTTATATGCCGCTTCACAGGGCTTTCAGCCCTCTCTAAGCGGTTTACAGAGTCAGCATATCGCCCCCAACAACAATCCGGGTATAAACGGAAATGGAAAGTTGTATATTTTAAATATACAGCTGTCTTCTATAGACATAAGGAACAGTTTTTAGGTTTAATTTGGATTTTCACATGGGTTTATTTCTATATGTCCCTTATATCCATGAAAAGTTATTTATCTATTTTCCAGTTTATTTCTGGCACTTCAATCATTAATTGTTTAATAATGGAACCCGGGCATGCTACATTAATATTGAGAGCAAAACGCTTCCAGAATAAGATGGGTTGACATGGGAGTTGGTTGTGAACAATTTATAGATTAGAACAGTATATGCTAGACTAGATAATAATCAGTAGATTGTACTGCTAAAGTAATGAGCTGTGATAATAGATCTGAAATAACATTGGTGAGCTTGAATTCCTTGATATGAATTTTGTATTGAAAAATGAAGTCTGGAAATCTCAAGTAGCTAGTTAAAAGATCTGCTTATTCTATTGTATATATCAACTACTAATTAATGTATTTGTGTCACTTATCCTGATGTAGAATTCTATTCAGCCACATTTTAATTGTTCTAATGCAAAATTTACCTCTGTAGATTCTATAAAAGTACATCCTGTACATTTTTCTATGTAGTCCTGGCTCTGCAATTACATTTTAAGGCACAGCATATCTCCCTTTTATATTTGTTCAAATTAAATATATATTAGTAATTTAGGGCTGGTACGTTGCCCTTATAAAACAGTGCATAGAAACCAAACTCATCTTCCTGCTGGAAGATCGTATTAATGCTGTTTTTGACATTGTCATTAGTAATATTGTCGTTTTCCAGAGCTGAATATGAATATGCTTTCTACCCCAACAAATAATAGTTTGCCTGCCAGTCTGCTAATTAGTTTGGTTATTTCCTATTTTTTTGATGAGGTTTAAATAAATGTCAAGGGTTCAGACATGGAGATCTCCCAATTAGGCGCTGCATTTGTAAAGCCCAACCCCTTTGCTTTTGTGTGAAGATGACAGTTCCAACTGCAGCGTCAGCCTAACTGGGCTCCGGGGAGAGGCTCCTTCACTGCTTTTATTGAAAACAAGGCTGGTTTGGCCCAGTGAGAATATTGGCATCGGTCAGAGTGCAGATCAGTTGTTAACAATGAATATTTACTAATCTCTGTCACAGCCGAGATCAACTGCTTTTCCCCCCTCCATTTCGCCCATTCAGCGCCAGAGCTCAAAAATCAGTGCATTAAAATATGCATGGATTTTACACAAGCACATAAAATAGGCGTAAATAACTGTATTGCCAAGGGTTTCATTGTACTAACTCCTCGATTGTAGGTACACCAGATTGCTTCTATGTGCAACAGGGAAGAGATCCCACACCACGACAGCACAACTGATCTTCCCCTAAGAGGTTCTGAAAAGAATGGTTCTATTTCTGTAAGACGTGCGCCAGCCTCCCCGTAGCTATTCTGGTCTCTCTGGTTGTGGGTGTGCAGAGGCGGGAGAGGGAGGATAAGGAGGAGCTGCGTTGCCAGTCAAAATTAACAGATGGATTGCCCTAAGCGAGGGAAAAGCCACCACGACCAAATCCAGTGAAAGCGGCAGGCTGAGGCTTTTTATGATTAATCCTTATTAAAATCTTGACGTGTATTTTACAGTTAACCCTTTCATCCCTTCGTGGCTAAATGATAATCCCTCTCCCCTTCACATTGCTAACTTAGATTGAACATAACGCTTTAAAAAATAAAAAAGGAAAGAGAGAGCAAATGGCTGGATTTTTCACATGTCAACAGTTTTCTCCCACTTTGCCTTTCCTTCCTCTTAATTTTTTACCTTCCTTTTTTAATGGAGCCTGCAGAAATGCCTTCGGTTGTAAAAAGATTATTTGAGTTTGGGATGATTTTCTTGAGCATCCATGGATGCCTCAGCTAGATGGATCTTTTAAAATACAGGTCTGCTTCCCCAGCATTGCTTAAAAGTAAATATTTCAGGCAGAACAAAGGCAGATGTATTTGAGGTTTTGTGCTAGTTATCCTGAACATCATTTTGGCTATGGTTGTGACCCATTTTAAATGAAGCCCTTCATGTGTTAAAAAGATACTGGCTTATAAATCTCTGTCACACATTTGATAGCATCCTGTGCAACACTGCTAGAAACATATGTTGCAATGAAGAATTAGCTGTGCTTGCTTTTTTGTGAAATGTATGTATATGCATGGTTTGTAACTCAAAGTATACAGCTACTTATAAAACTTCTTTTTAAAAAAAATCCTTTTGTACAAAATACAGGTTTTTCAGAAATCTTAATTGCAAGTGAATTATTTTTCACAAATATATTATATTGTATAGGCAATATAATTTGTTGCTGGAATATAGCTCCAGGGATGTTCATAAAGCTATGTAAAATATATGAACTTAAAATAAACGTGAAATATTCTTAGCAAAATCTACTTTGTGCTATAGAAGCCATCAAAAATGTGGTGGAATTACTTGTGTATCTATTTTTTTTCCGTACGGCTGTGCTGAATAAACATTTTCAGGTGGCGCATTTGAATTAATCATATGCATAATCAAATTATGGAATGTCTTTGAACCAATACAAACCCCTTGGCTTGGCAGCCCTGTGTGTTCATTGTCGCTGCTGTCTCACTGTGGTTGTGAGTCTCCTGTAGGCAGACAGGTTGACTGTTTCCCCTACAGAAGAGAGTCCCCTTTGTGCTTTTCCCACCCCCCCACCCCATTCCCAACTC